GAGCAAGCTCCTCGCTGGGAGTCGGCGCCGAGGCGACGCGGGAAGGCGCCACCACCCCGCCGCTGGCCAAGGTGCTGGACACGACGGGCCCGCGGGCCACCTCGCCAGCTCAAGCCTCAGCTTTTGCTGCCGCTGCCTCGCTCCAAGCCCGTTCCCCATGGAAGAGATGGAAGAAGAGTTAAAATGCCCCGTGTGCGGCTCCTTCTACCGGGAGCCCATCATCCTGCCCTGCTCTCACAATTTATGCCAGGCGTGCGCCCGCAACATCCTGGTACAGACCCCAGAGTCCGAGTCTCCCCAGAGCCGTCGGGCCTCTGGCTCCGGGGTCTCCGACTATGACTACCTGGACCTGGACAAGATGAGCCTGTACAGCGAGGCGGACAGCGGCTACGGCTCCTACGGGGGGTTCGCCAGCGCCCCCACTACCCCCTGCCAGCGGTCCCCCAATGGTGTCCGCGTGTTCCCCCCAGCTATGCCGCCACCGGCCACCCACCTGTCACCGGCTCTGGCCCCGGTGCCCCGCAACTCCTGTATCACCTGCCCCCAGTGCCACCGCAGCCTCATCCTGGATGACCGGGGTCTCCGCGGCTTCCCCAAGAACCGCGTCCTGGAGGGGGTGATTGACCGCTACCAGCAGAGCAAAGCGGCGGCCCTCAAGTGCCAGCTCTGCGAGAAGGCCCCCAAAGAGGCCACCGTCATGTGCGAACAGTGCGACGTCTTCTACTGCGATCCCTGCCGCCTGCGCTGCCACCCGCCCCGGGGGCCCCTGGCCAAGCACCGCCTGGTGCCCCCGGCCCAAGGCCGCGTGAGCCGGCGGCTGAGCCCGCGCAAGGTGTCCACCTGTACAGACCACGAACTGGAGAACCACAGCATGTACTGTGTGCAGTGCAAGATGCCCGTGTGCTACCAGTGCCTGGAGGAGGGCAAACACTCGAGCCACGAGGTCAAGGCTCTGGGGGCCATGTGGAAACTGCACAAGGTGAGTCCTAAGAAAAAAACCACCCCCAAGGCCCAGCGCCTCGGACCCTGCCATGTTTGCAGTAGACGCCCCCCTCTTTTGCGTACAGTGCATCCCAACCCGGCGGCGCAGTGCACCGGCCTCCCAGATTGCCTCCCCAGTCTGGTGCATTGCAGGAGGCGCGGGGTGCTTTAACGGACGCCCGGGGGAGTTGAGTGTCCCCCCAGAGTTGTTCCGGGGTGTCTTAGAGCCGGTCTACAGGGCGAGCTTCCAGCGAGCTGGACGCAGGGCGCCCCCTCTCCGTCTCCAGCAGCCTGCGGCTGCCAACCAGGTGTGGGGAAGCTCTGCGTAACTGGGCACAGGCGTTGCCAGTGCCCAGAGCCAGTGGGCGCGCTGGAGGGCAGACCCTGCCGTGGGGCTCTGGCCTCGGGCCCGGCAGAGGCGGTGGGGTCTGGCGGAAGGTCCGGCCCCGCTCTGCTGGGCTCGCAGGCACCCAGTCACAGCGTGGGCGGGAAGTCGCCACCGGAGGAATACTGATGAGCCCCCGCAGGCGAGACCTGGCGCCCCCGCCGGAGAGGACTCTGGGTCTAAAGCCGGGTGGTCAGGAGGAGGAGCCAGGGCTCGGAGCGGGCGAGGGTGGGTTGGGGGCTGCCGTCCCCATGGCAACGCCGCCCGCTGGCCGTGGCTCTCACTCTCCTGAGAACTGGAACTGGGGTGGGAAGAGTGGCGGTTTCTGAGCGGTCGTGACCTGCAAACCAAGCAGCTGCGCCTCCCAGGGTAACCTCCAAATCCCAACCACCTCCTAAGACCCATCGCTCCCAGTTCGACCCGCGTCCATTTTCAGCAGTTGCAATTCCAGACTCCGTGACACCTGTTCTCGGGTTTGTCCTTCTGGTCTCTTTTGCGGCTGCACTTTCCCCACGCCGGG